CTTAAAACAGAGAGGTTTTTTTTTGTTTTCCGCGTAAAGACGACACCTAATCAAAACGATCTCCATTCACACGGATGCGCGAAAATGACTAAAAACCCTGTATTCTGCTCCCAGGCCATTAGATGGCGATGAAACACTATAGACTGAATGTGCATGATGTCATCGGCTTCAAATATTCACGTTTTTGTTGTTTATACAGAGACAGTTTTCAAAAACTTCCACTATGAAACCCGTTTTCAAAAGTTTTTTTTCAGGCACCTAAAATGCCGTTGTCGTGTAAATGAACGGCCAAAACGCATAAAAAGTTTTACGTTTTAGTTGAAAACGGTGCCGTGTAAACAGCCCCTGAAACCCTCCACTTGGTGGACTAGATCTGCTGTGCTGCTGCTGTGGATTATTGCTGCTGCTAATAGATTAGATACACAGATACACTGTTGTGAGCATGTAAGATATGCTGCTGCTGCATAAATAGTCATACATAAATCCTGTAGCAGATATAGGCAGGTGGAGGGTTTTTAGGGCTGTTAATATAAAAGTATTGCAACGGTTTAGTGAATTCACCCTTGTGTCTTCCATCCCAAACAAATCAGCCTCAGTCATCAGCGCAGCCACCTAGCAGAGTACTATAGTGAGACAGTAAGTTGAACTTGGGGAAGGCCAGGGAACACGGTGGAGTTTCCTGCATCATGAACAGGCGTACACGTCTAAGATCGCGCTCGCCAGCATAGCACATCACATTAGCAGCTCAGAGCCATTCCATTTGAGCCTCTGATCCATCTCAGAAGACCAAATTACATTTGACAGGTGGTCCCCAGACAGTGCCACTTGACTTGCTGCGACAAATGTGCAATTTTTTCATCAGAAGCCCCCTGCTTACAGGCCATCTCTCTGCTAGCACAGCGAAGTGGGAGGGAGAGAGACAGAGCAAGACATGGGAGAGTGTGTGCACGTCTGGCACATTCAGCTACTGGACACACTTAAACAAGTATTAATATCTATAATAAAAAATGAAATACAGGGAAGGAACACTTCAATCATTCTGAAATTCAATTCTGAGATGGAAGTTGTCCAGAGTTGCCCATAAAGATCCAATGATCCGTGGCCATGGAAGGCATTAGACTCCATCCTGAGCTCACTGAAAACATTTGTAAATGTGCTTATAGGCATGTATGGGAGCTTTGTAAAGGAATAATGTTTGCAGAGGAAATCCCTTAGTTTTCAGCAAACAAAGCCAACCCAGATAAAAGAAACAGTGTAAGATTCAGGCATATTACTTCTGTCTATTGTTCAGTTTTGGCTCCTTATACAGGTCTTGTGCATTGGCCTCATACAACTACTGTACCATTTCCCCTCAATCCAGCTTTCTGAAAGTAAACTCAGTCGAGACGGTCACAGAGGTCCTAATTCAATTCCACAGCACTTTCTGAGGACGTATTGTAAAGGATTTTGTTTCACTCTCTCCCTGTTGTTGTTGTTGTTGTTGTTGTTCTCTTTTTGCAACTATTGTCTCGCATTTTGTCCATGTCTGGCACATTATTTTGGCAAATTATTTTTCTTTTGACTCACTAAATGCTTGTCAGACATGTTTGATGGCAGACACACTATTCAGCAGTCAGAATAACGACTCAATTTTACTGATGTTTTAATCTTTGTTTAGTTATCTACATGCATTGAGGGCTACAAGTAACATGGTGGATCAGATGGATCAAATGTCTCCTAGGTTTGCAAATGTAATTTTATTTTCTATAGCACTTCGAAAATTAAGGTAAAGATAATTTTGCGTTTCTGGTGGTCTTTAATATTAACATTAATAATAACTCGAAGGCGTTTACGTCCTGTGACTCGGAATTATACATTACTATTGCAACACCAAATGAGTGATATAGTAATAATCAATAGACAAAACCACAATATAACAAGTCTTTTTTGCAAATGCCTTATTAATTAAACTTACTTGTTTAGCGGGACATAGTTATTTATAGTGTTGGGGAAAGTTACTTTTAAAGGTAATACATTACAAATTACGTTGCTCCCTAAAAATAACTAATTGCATTACTTTTCCTCACCTGGGCTGGGCTTGGTTGTTTTGTTTCTTTAATAAAAATAATTAAAAAAAAAGTTCAATTGTTGGCAAATGTAAAGGCCCTTTCACACAAAAGTGAAATAAATAAAAAATAAATAATTCTCTCCTGTACAGTAGAGGGCGCAGCTCAAATAAACCTATCAGCTGTGCTGCCATTCTGGAGTGAGGAAGAAGAAAGTTCAGCACTCTTCAGCAATAAAAACAAAAAATTAAACAAATATAACGTTTATCTAAAGACAATTTTGCTTATTAGTATTGTTGAACTGGATCATCGAAGGTCAGTAGCAAAGACATTGGTTAATAAAGTGAGATTAAATACATAAAGTATATTTAAGTTATTTAACATTTAATTATTGCAGGTTTGCGTAATATTCTGAGTTTACATTTCACTGTTTTTATTCATTTTGAGGAATACTGAATCTATTTTGTGGAAGTGAGATGAGTAAATACATGCTTGTGTCACTCAGCGCAAACCCTCTTTTGGTATTAAAAAACTACTGTCAGGATATACTAAATACATGCAGTGAAAAATAAGCACTGAAAAGAAAAAAGTAGCACCCATTCACTAGCATTATATGCTCACGTGAGTAACATTGGTTTAGCTCTGTTTCACAGGACCAAGATAAGCTGTGGTTGTAATGTCAGCTAGAGTAACAGGACAGTTTTGAGTGTCATTGTTTGTCTAGAGCTGGTGTGCTGCTGGTGACTAACAAATTCTTGCTTTTATATACTCTTGTGTACTGTATGATAATTTTTTGTTTGTTTGTAATATTTGCTTTATGTTTTGCAAAGCATTATTTTGCTCCGCTTCAGCTATGATAAAGATTCATCCACTATTGCATTGACTGTGGAGAAATGAAGGGATTTGTTTGTTTATTTGGGTTGATTTTAAAAAATCAGCAGCGTTTCTCAGAAATCGCTTACTGCACAATGATACTAACCAACCATCCAAGAAATCTCACTGGTGTCAACAACTAAAACAAGCTTTGTAAAAACATCTGAACACAAAGAGACTACACAGGAAAATGGCGAATTTCCTCTCGGCTTGCCAGCGTTGCGATGCCAAACCTAAGAGCGTGGGTGCAGGGATCACATTCTAACATCACAGTGTGTTTCTTGGCCACTGAAACCACATTTTAACCTCTTCCCTTAAATGTCCACTCGCAAACGGCTCCCATGTTTCTGAAGGAATGCCAAAGAGATATTAAAAGCAGCTTCAGGAATGAAACACCTCGTGGGATTTCCTGCAGCAGGTTGAGTGAGCTGATAAGGGCTCGCTTGCTGTAACAGGGCGGCCGATCAGTCATCAGGTACCGGGGTGGAAGGGACAAAGCCATAAAGCCTATCCAAACCCTGTGGACACACCTCAGTAGCGCTGAAAACAGGTCAGCTACAACACAACACAAGCACAAAAGAAATCTGAGGACTGTAAAACCTTTGCACTGCACATATACACTTACGCAACTAGCAGCAAGACAGCTACCCATTACCAACAACAAGCAGATAACTCACTCAATGCAAGCTATTTAACTTAAACACACTCCACCACAATGAAGAAAATCAACATGTGATATCCGGCTGTTGCCTCATCCTTCTTACTGACACACCCAAGAAGATTGTTACGCTTAGTTTGCAACTTAAAATGATTGTCATGTGCTCAGCAATTCCGAAAGTTGTGTAAAAGACGACATGTGTGCTGCTATATTCACCTTCACTCTTACTCATCGAGAGACAGATGGGCACTAACAGTGACTTAATCATATTAAATATTCTGGTTTAGTGTGGGCCGCTTAACCAACACAGAGCTGAGTGAGTTTAAGCTAAGAACATTTTTTTCGTTGAGCAGAATCCTCTCCATGTGCCAGCAGTCAAATGGGAATTGCACACCTGTGTCACTGATCAAATGTTTTTCAACTTGGACTCAATGTCGAGCCAAGACTCTATGACCTTTTAAATGTGTTACTAGGGTCTAGTAAGAATTTTGTTACTTAAGTAGGGCAATATTAATCACGATAAAACCAAAATCACAATATGCCTTAGTTAGTGTTATTAAATTAGTTAGATTATTAAATTGGAATGTATGTGATTTAATTAAATAAAAACATGCGATACATTTTTGTTTCAGAGTGAAGCACAGCATTGCTGGTTTTTTGTTGCGGTGGTCTTTTTTTTTTTTTTTTTTACATGCAATAGTATATGCATATAGTTCATATATAGTGTTTTCAGTGTCTCCCAGAAGTTCGGTTCAGAGCTTTCAAAAAATCCATTTTAAAAAGCAATTTTTATTAGAATCACCCCCACAATTTTCTATGACAATATAATGGCTGTACATTATGCTGCTGTGCTGATAAGTATATACAGAAGTATAATTTAATTAATTGTATAACATAATTTAATTGTGTGAGAAGAACTGTAGTGATTGACACAACTAAGTTTAACAGCAGTCAACTGCAGTTTAGTGTCATTATGCAAAATATCCACCTGCAGAATTCAGCCATCAACCAATACGAATGATATATTCCAGAGAGTTGTGAAATAAAATAATACATTTAAAGTTGATAAGAGGCTGGTTGTGGCTGGAAATAAGTCAACTGGTTGCAAGTCAACAAAATGAATGTGTAAACATGAGCACACAGATACTAAGGTGTCATGAATTGATACATGACCCTGAATCTTATTTTATCTCTTGGGCAACAAGAGAGAAGACGTGTATAAGTCTTATAAGCAAGCTTATAAGCAGGACTTATAGGTCTAGAACCTCTAAAATTAATCAATAAGAAAAACAAAGCTGCAGCTTTTTTTTTTCCTGACAAGTCTGCATCTGAAAATATAGTCTACCATGTGTTTCACTAGAAGAAACGATGGTGAGCTGGAATTGGAATGCATACTGCAGAAATGTGAAGGTCAGCATACTTACATCTCAGTCTCATATTCTTCACTGTCTTTGTCATTCTTCTTGTCTGGCACTTCATTTGCAGACTGGTGCTTCTGAACTATCCTCATGCCTCCTCCTACTTTCACTGTCACAAATTAACAAAAACAAATTCAGAGTTTTTTCCTGCATTTATTATATAATGTTATAAAATGACATTAATCACAAGCGTCTATTTAGTGTGCAACAGGTTTCCCTTGGCCTACTTTAAGGGTCATTACACATGTTGTTATCTGATTTTCTTGTGTACTTTACACCGCACTGATAGATATGCTGACGAAGTGAAACACAATGTGAAATCACACATTTACGCCACGCGAAAGGAAAAATATGTGGAGGAAAAATCTATGCCATGTGTCACAAACGTGGTTGATCGTAACATACATTTTTCTTTTAGAGACGACTGATTTACTTGTGGCATGCAATGTGTCCTATCAGCTCAACCCTGCACTGGGGACACTCCATGAAAAGTATGTCTTTCACATCCCTTATGACCATATGTGTAAGCAATGAAAAGCTGACACCAACTTTTACTCCGTTATTATAGGTATTACTATTTTGATTGACACATCAGCAAGAATTCAGCCATTTTAGTCTATTTTTGTCAGATGTCTTTTATGGCTCATCCCAGCCCTGTAATTATATATATATATACAAAAATAAATATATACTTGGTATAATGTTCTTATTCTCTCCCCATATCAATTCCTAAAATTAAAAACTATTAAAATAAAATAACCACTTTCAGAATTGAACTCTTTAAATAGCCAAGCCTGTTACTATCCTTTCGGACAACAAACAAACTGTACTGGACAATGGGAATAGTAGAAATATCAGCATAAAAATATTCTTTTTTTCTTAAAAAAAAAAAAAGAGTCCGGGCCCTGATCACAAGGTTACTATAACTGGCATCCCTTTCCCTTTTTGTTTTTCAAAGACAAAGCTATATCCCTACGAATAAGGCCCAATATAATATATTAGCATTAAGAGATCTGATGCAATGTCTAAAATCTACAGAGATGCAAAGAAAACCACATTTTCTATATAAAAAAGAGCACACATTTGTCGGAATGATCCACTAACGTTAGACCTCCCAGCAGAAAAACAACAACAGCTAAGCAATAGCATGGATTACCAGCAGGGAGATGTCCAGCTTTGGTCTCGGTTTTCTCTTTGGGCGGCGATGACATGACTGCTGTCAAGCGCTTCTTCCAAAGAGTCGCTTCGTTGTCTTCAAAATAAAAACAATCCTTCTGTTTCCTGGATGAAAAATAACGCAGACTACTGTCGACTTCGTCAACGTGGCTTTTCCCTGCCCATTGTTTGGCAACGGTGCGTGATGACGGCAGTGGTCTCTCCAACCAATAAGAGCGATTATTGAGAAAGGACGTTCCTCCTCTTTTCTATGGAAAGTCTGATGGAACATACAGGGAAAATCAGAACATTCAAATCTGCATGCGCTGTGTAACTTTGATTTATAAGCTCACAGGTCGCATATTTTGGAAATAACCTTTAACAACATGGGTTATTTATGTCTGGAAAACTGTTCGCTTAACTCAAGAACATTGCTGAAAGTGTGAGTGCAAATAGACAAATCACTGCAGTAGATGAATCTGGGTTAGAAGTCAAGAAAACACACTGTTCTCGTCAAAAAATACAATGAACATAATTAACATTTACACTATGGGGAAAAATGAATCATGCCAGTCTTCACAAGTATGCCTATACCATAATGGAGCTCCCTTAAATAGACACAGAGGAACGCAAACTTGAGATCAAAATCCTTAGGCCTATATTTAATATTAACCCATGTGTTATTGTGTGCAGAATCATATCATACCAAAGTGCCAGAGTTTGGCCCAACTACTGTAAGGCTATCTGAGTAAGAGGCTGTGATCCAAACACAATTTCTTAGTATGGTTGTCAGTATCAGTAAATCAAATTCTGTTCTTCACAAGTGCATAAAGCAGTTCTTCAACAGATAAATCTCAGATGTGTGCCCTATTGCACCGCAAGTTCAACTGGCATCTGATGAATTGTGTTGATGAATTTACACTGAGGTGAATCATGACCACTAGATGGGAGACTAATGCTTTAATAAATGACAAGAGTCTTCATTTTGAAACAAGCCATAACTGCATGGAATGGCACTTTTTAGGCAGCTGGTAAAATAATGAAAACACCGTTCAAATCAATATACTGTAGAGTTTATTGTGATGGAGCAGAATTATTTGCAGCATCAACTGTTATAGCTGTTAGATTCTGTCCATAGTTGCTAGGTGAAGTGTATCCCATCATGAAAGGAAATACATCCTCACTGACCACAAAAAGCCATGTGGTTCTGGGTTTAATGAACATGTGTTGTATGGTGAAAGGCAATAAAACAGTTATGAATTATGGTTTAGGGGACCTACAAGCTTCTGATATGAGCCTGATAGAGGCAGTATGTGAGCATGATCTATCATTCACAGGTTTAGCTGTATTGTGCAGAAAGAAGTGTGCCATATGACTGACTGTCAATAATGTGGACGTATCATGGGATATTGATGGGAGCTTTATGTAACCTTGCATGCTCTAATAACCGAATTGTTCTGATTGATATGAAATACCTTTTGAGATTGTGTTCCTCTAACATTGACAACCTGAAATGTCCGCAAATAATTTTACCCCCTCCCTACTTATTTTAATATTTTCACATATTTTCAGGACAATTAAGCACACCCCTCCCCCGCAACTCTCATCACATCTAGTCATTATCTCTCAGTATTTTAAAATAATGATCACTCTAATAGTCATTGTTTTATAGAATTACAGTAAAACTATTATTTTTCTATTATTTACAATAAAAAAAAATCTAATGTCACTTTAAAAATGAAACCAAAATGACTACACCTAAAATATTTTAAGAAATATGCAGTGTTGGGGAAAGTTATTTTTAAAAGTAATTTAGCAATATTTCACTACTCCCTAAAAAGTAACGTGAAATAAAGCATCAGGCTGAAGGACATGCAAATTCACGCCTGTACAGTAGAGGGCGCAGCTCCGACAAACCTGCAGAAGAATAGGACATAATAAGAAGAAAGACAAATGTGGTGTTTATCTAAAGTCATACTAGCTTATTAGTATGTTTGAATTGGATTATTAAACTTCAGCGAAATATTCTATGTTTGTATTTCACTGTTTCTATTCATTATGAGGAATACTGAATCTATTTTTGTGCACGTGAGATGAGTAAATGCATGATGATCCAGTCTATGATGATGATGCATGACTGAGACTGAGTATGCACATGAGTAAATGCATAGTTAGTCTAGAACTACATTAAGCATCATGTTTACGCAGCCCACTCACAACGCCTCACAGGCTACTTTTGATTTCTCTCAACATGGAAACAGGAGAGCTGTCAGTCAATAAATGAGAAAACAAAGTGCGTTGCTTGTTTGAAAAAGTAACTCAGATATTTTATTGTAAATTTAAAAGCAATATGCGTTACTCTACCAGTTATTTGAAAAAGGTAATCTGATTACGTAACTTGTGTTATTTGTAATGCGTTACCCCCAACACTGCTAATACACTTAAAGGGTAAATAAGGTGTAGCCTAACGTTACCTTTTGAAAGGGTTCTGCCCCAGTGACAGCTTCTGTACCTTTTTCCTTTTCCTGAGAGTGTATTTCACATTACATTAATGAGAATTGTGGAGCAGAATGAGCTTAATTAATTGAGCTTAAAATAATGTTACAATGCATAAAATCTTTATGGTCCTATATAATTTTTTGGGGGGTGACCTAGACTCCTTTTCATATTCCCCTACATGAAAAAGAAGCTAGGCCTATTGGTCATTTTGGAAAGAAACAACACTGATTTAATCATATCTGGCACAAAAGGTGTAGCGCTGACATTCACAGATGCCTATTAAGCTAACAACCCTGTTCAGTCCAAAATGAATCCTGACGAAAATTCATTTTCCCTTCATGAATAATTTCATCTGCAGTGGGATGATGATTCTTTTGTTTAACTTTTGTCTACACAGAAATTGATTTTGTGGCAAATCTGCATTTTAGGGGGTTCTAATTCATGGATGTGTCACTGTCAACAGTAGAGCTATAAGAGAGATGGGTTTCGAGCTTCTTGCCGTATTTGCCCTGGCATAAATTTTAATCACATTGTTGAATTGAAGACCTATTTTCATGCCACATTAGATTATAATCCCACAGTGTAAAGTGGGCCACACTGAAAATGAAACTTTGGATATTGAACACTTAATCATTGCAAGAGTTCAGGGGAAATTGAGCTATTCTGCACAGCCTCTGAATTTAATTTTACAACTTCACAGTGCCGAGGGGACGAGACAGTGAGTGTCTGACTCCGAGTCTTGCATTGAAATATTTCAACCTGTGAGTCAGTAACATTTACAGGCTATAACTGAGACAAGTGCTCTACAATTGCCAACATTCAGACTAATCTCCTTGAATTCAAGTGTCCAAACAATGCTAATCTAATTCAACGTTATCGACTCTAATGTTTGTAAATCTAGACAAATCCAATTATGGTATTTTGTAAATGGTCTAGGACTCAAGACTTTTGTTTATATGCAAGAAAAATCCATATTTTGTTCCTGTATAGGCTGTGCATGTCAGGGAGTGTCCTGAAAATAAGAACACACACTGCACAATACACAATATTACATAAAATTTTTCGGTAACGCTTTACAATAAGGTTTAGCCTACTTTGTTAACATTAGTGAACTACATTATTTAACACTATGACAATGAACAATATTTCTACAGAAATTATGCTGGTAACACTTTACAATAAGGTTTCATTTGTTAACATTATTGTATTAACTAACAAAGTAACAATGAGCAATACATTTGTTACAGTATTTATTAATCTTTGGGAATGTTAATAAAAATCCAGCTGTTCATTGTTTGTTCATGTTAGTTCACAGTGCATTAACTAATGTTAACAAATACAACTTTTGATTTTAATAATGTATTAAATTAACATTAATTAAGATTAATAAATGGTGAAGAAGTGCAGTTCATTATAAGTCGCTAACTAATACCAATGAAACCTGAGTGTAAAGTGTTAACGAAATGGGTAATATTTAAGTTAATCTCAACATTTACTAATTCATTTTTAAGATAAAAAGTTGTATTTGTAAAAATGAGTTAATGCACTAACATAAAATTTTGTATTAACCATTCTTGATTCATAAATGCTGTAAAAATAGTTTGTTCATGTTAGTTAATGCATTTATTAATGTTAACAAATATGCCTTATTGTATAGAATTACCAACATTTCTTCTGCCATTATCTTTCAAAAGTTCATTAATTTTCTTTCTTTTATCTATCCAGCAAGGATTCAAAAGTGACAGTAAAGACATTTACAGTGATTTTTATTTCAAACAAATGCTGTTCATTTGCACTTTATTCATAAAGTATCCTGAAAAAGAACATCACAGTCTCCACAAAAATAGCAGCACAACTGTTTGCAACATTGGTAATAATCAGAAGTGTTTATTGAGCAGCAAATCAGCATATTAGAATGATTCCTCAAGGATCACGTGACACTGAAGACTAGAGTAATGATGCTAAAAATTCAGCTTTGCCATCACAGGAATAAATTACATTTTAAAATATATGAAACATAGAAAACAGATATTTTAAATTATAATAATATTTCACAATATTACCGTTTTGCTGTATTTCTAATCAAATAAATGCAGCCTTTTGAGCATATAAGAGATTTCTTTCAAAAATGACTTGCTTATAGGGAAGAATTTTACCAGATATCACTCAGGCAGATTTCAAGTTGTGTGTCAAAAAAAAAAAAATCTTAAAAAAAAAAAGATTTCAACAAGGACACTTACTAGTGTACAAATGCCTCCAATAAGACCCTCAGTGGACAGGCTGATGATATCACAATGGCTCGAGGGCAAGTTTTACTCCAGCTATATATCTAGCTGACGCAATATTACAGAGCAGAGCAAACCTAGAAAAACATGTGGCTTTTACTTCAGAATCAGTTTTACAATTCCCTTACATTTCCATGACCATCATGACCCTCGTTCTTGTGCCACAGATCAAAAACACACATCTCATTTCTGTATGTCCTTCCTGCTCTCTTCAGTGCTGGATGCTGGAACTCTGTCCCTGGAAGGAGAGAAGTAATGACAATACTCACACTGACAGGAAATGAGTAGATAGAGCCCGTCTCAAAAGGCTAAATTTAAGGTGCCTGTTACTTAATCCCCATAATGCCTCACCAGGCATGAGCCTCCTTCACTAAGAGAATCCATGTGCTTATTTATTTGGTCTCCTGCTACAGGTAA